GGAGGGGCCGCGCTGCCGGGCGCTCTACCAGTACATCGGGCAGGACGTGGATGAACTCAGCTTCAACGTGGGGGATGTCATTGACATCCTGATGGAAGGTACCAGGCTCCTGCCCTGCCCGCCTCCTCTCCCTGCCCTGCTGGCAGCACAGCTGATTGTTTGTGTTCTCCCTCCCCAGATGCCTCTGGCTGGTGGAAAGGCCACCTGCACGGCAAGGAAGGGCTTTTCCCTGGGAATTATGTGCAGAGGATCTGAGCTGGAGGAAAGGAGCATCCCACCGAGCATCCCACCTCCAGAGGCTGTGCCCAACTTGGGCACCTGAAGTTTTCCTCTCAATTCAAAACTTCACAAAAACTTTCAAACCATGAAGTTTTCTCAGCAAACTCAAAACTTCACAAAAACTTCCAAACCGTGAAGTTTTCCCACTGATGCTGGCACAGAATGAACGTTTACTTAGAACCCTCCAGACTGCCAGTGCCTGGGGCTGGATCCCACAGCCCCTTCAGTGGGGGCACCCCGCAGCAAGGACAGGCTCTTAGCTGCTTGTTAGCATCCAAGGACTCTAAAATTTCTCCGCAGTATGAAGAGAGTTGTTGTTCATAATTCTGTTGTTCATAAATAAGCAGACTCAGCAAAGCTGACTCACATTTTGAGTTTGGGGGTTTTATTTCGCTCAGTGTGGCTGTGTGACAAAAGCTGTGACGTGGGCAGGCACAGATCAGAGGCAGCCCCGTTCCTCCCACCATGAACTCTCCAGAAAATGCTGAATACATCAACCAGCTCTGCCAGGCTCCAGCTCAGGCATTTCCAGGCTCCGCTGTGGCTCGGGATCGCTCAAAGCAGGAGCAGGGCGGTGCTGCCGTGCCTGGCTCGGCACAGGAACAGCTCCGAGGATCCCTCAGGCAAAGCCCTCAGAGCGGGCACTGCCTTTCCTGACGGCGCTCGGGGGCAGCGTGTGGGGTCTCATCCCTGAGGGACGCTCGGGGTGGCAGCTGAGACCCTCTGGGGCAGCGGCACAGCCGGGCTGGGCTGTGGGCAGGGGCTGAGCCCCACACGGGGCTGCCCCAGAAGGATTCAGCCGGGAGAGGGAGGAACAGGGCTGGAATGTCCGCCCCGTGTCCGGCCCCATGTCCGCCTCATCTCCGGCCTCCCCCAGGCCTGGGCCAGAGGAAGTGACGGCAGGCTGATCCCACAGAGCCCGGCCCTCCTCTTCCTCCTTCCCTGCTACCACAGAGCGCGGCCTGATCCTACAGAGCCCAGCCTGATCCCACAGCCCGGCCCTCCTCTTCCTCCCTGATCCCACAGAGCCCAGCCCTCCTCTTCCTCCCTCCCTGATCCCACAGCCCGGCCCTCCTCTTCCTCCCGGATGCCAAAGCCCGGCCTAGTCCCACAGAGCCCAGCCCTCCTCTTCCTTTCTCCCTGATCCCACAGCTCGGCCTTCCTCTTCCTCTCTCCCTGATCCCATAGCCCAGCCCTCCTTTTCCTCCCTCCCTGATCCTACAGAGCCCAGTCCTCCTCTTCCTCCCTCCTTGATCCCACAGAGCCCATCCTGATTCCACAGAGCCCAGCCTGATCCCAGAGAGCCCAGCCTTCCTTTTCCTCCCTCCCTGATCCCTCAACGCCCAGCCCTCCTCTTCTTCCCTGATCCCACAGAGCCCAGCCTGATCCCATAGCGCGGCCCTCCTCTTCCTCCCTTCCTCCCTCCCTCCCTCCCAAGCCCCCACTGGAGCTGCTCCCCTGTCACACAGACCTTCCTCCCCACCTCAGATTTGGGGTCCAGCGGTGTTCAGGGGACTCTGTGTCCTCCAGAGTGGGATTAACAGAGGGCAGATCCCCACTAGGGTGGGAAGTTCCCCATGGGATTTCAAATTCTTCACAGCCCCATCTGGAAATTGTGGGTCCCCCCTCCCCCCATTATGGGGTTTTTCAGCCCCTGCACTCCTCGGGGTGATTTTCCCTGTAAATCACAGCTCATTAGGAGTCCTTGCACTGCAGAGTGCAAGAGGGAGGTGTCTGATTTTATTTTAATGAAAAATAGTGGCGTTGGGAACTGGGGATTTAGGAAACTCCTTCCTGCTCCTTCCAGCCCTTCCTGGGGAATGGGGGGCAGTGGGTGCTGTCAGGGGTGTCCCTGCTCGGCCCTGTAGGAATGTGGGAGCTGGGCCAGCTCGGGCACCCCTGGGCTGCTCCAGAGGGCTCCAGGTGCTCCAAAGAGCTCCAGGGGCTCCCGGGGGTTTGGGGTCTCTCAGGGGCTTCTGTTGCTGTGAGGATCCTGGAGGGGCCTGCGCTGCTCCTCGGATCACACATGAGCTGGAGGGATGCTCCCTAAAATCTGAGGTGTTCCTAAAAATCCGGGGTGCTCCCAAAAATCTGGGGTGCTCCCAGGACCCCAGGATGCTCCCAAAAATCTGGGATGATCACAGGAGTGTGGGGTGTTCCCAAAAATCTGGGGTGATCACAGGAGTCTGAGGGTGGTGCCAGAAATCCAGTGTTCCCAAGAGTCCAGGGTGCTCCCAGAAGCTTGGGATAGTCTCAGGATCTTGGGGTGCTCCCAAAAATCTGGGATGATCCCAGGAGCCCAGGGTGCTTCCAGGAGCCTGAGGTGCTCCCAAAAATCCGGGATGCTCCCAGGAGCTTGGAGTCCTCCCAAAAATCCGGGGTGCTCCCAGAAGTCTGAGGTGCTCCCAAAATTCCAGGGTGCTCCCAAAAATCCGGGGTGTTCCCAGGAGCTCAGTGTGCTCAGAGGGCCCTGGGATCCTCCAAAACCCTTGGGTGCTCCAAAAGCTTCAGGAACTGCTGATGCCTTTCCCTCTC